ATCTCATCAAAATAAGAGAATACTCTATTGACAATTTAAGGTAATATTAACCATTAGAAATTCGCAATTGGGTCGGTTCAATGATCATATCTCTATATGCATCATCTATATATGTGATTTAGTTAATGAGATCAACTAATTTTTATCTTATAGAGACCATCACATATATATTAGTCTTATTAGATTATTAATGTCTCATTTTGATGATCCAACAACTAAGAACATTCTAAATTAAATCATAAAATATTTTACTCTCATTATTAAAATCTCCATCTTGATGTAAAACCTATAAATTTAATTAAAGACTTTATCACATAAATTAAATGATACGATAATAAAATATTATTGTCATATATTAAAATAAATTGTCAAATAATAGTGTATTCAATATATTACACGAATAATTGAATCGTGGGGTATAACACTTATATCTCCAACACTTATGTGATAGGTTGTCCATTTACCAACTCTAATGTCATCTTTCTTCCTTTTTTTTGCTCTCTAATTTAATGCCTTTTTTTTTTCTAAGGAGAAGTAATAGATTGATATAAAAATTCTACATCAGGATCATTATTTTTCTAGCTGTATTATCAATGATTTTATTCTATGTTCTTCAGTGTAATGTATGTGTCATAATGTGGCTTCAATTCTACCACTTTTCTAGGTTCCAACTATTGGTATTTGACCTTGTATGTTTTTTTTTAAGATACGAATGAAGAAGGAAGAAGAAACAAAGAACAGAGAGATTAATACCTGACTAGACAAACCCAAACAATATCACAGCGAACAAGTGCAAAAGGATGTGAAGATTACTGGAGCAGCCAACAGAAATGTGGCGGGCCCACTGCTCTAACCAATCAACATGCAAGTTATCCTAAACATGAATATGGAAAACTGAACATCCTAATCAAGGCTGAGGGCGTCTTTAATTTTGTTTCTCCACTTTAAAAGGTGAGGAATAATGGATAGCAAGACTATGAAGGAGTTATTTGACCAGGCTAAGAGTGTCTCTAATGTGTGTGCATATTTTGTAAATCTTTTGTAAGAATTTGTTGTATTCTGGTTTATTTCTTACTTTCTATTAAAAAAAATAACTTCAACAGTAATTTTATCCTTTACATCAAGGATAGCCACATCAATTTATTCCATATACGACTGAGGATATTTATAAATCATAGTTAAAATTAATATATTTTTTTATTATGATCCCAGCCTAATCATATTGGTATTTTCATGTTAATAATTCTGAGCAAAATATGATAAAATTACATATAAGAAAACCTTACATTAATTATGTTATGATTAAATAAAGTATAATTGGATTAAATCAGTATAAAACTGATTCTATTATATTTAATGTGATTGTCTTTTAAAAAATATTATTTTTAATAGGCTGATATATAAGTTATCGCTGACATCTAACTTAAATAAACGATGATATTTTATAATTTGAGTTCATTGTTTTATTTTTAACTTTGATATCTTACATATATGTGTCATATATTATATTATATATAATAATTTAACATTATAAAACTGTCGAGAAATTAAAAAGAGAAAAGAAAATTAACAATTGCAATGTAAAACAAATTATAAACTGAAAAGGTTATTAACAAACTCATTAACATATTTAGAACTTTTGTCCTGCAAGTTGTTCCCGATAAGAAAAACAAATACATTGATCTTATATTTGTTTGCATTCTCTCCGGTAATTAACAGCAAAAACCAGCACAAGACACCTTTGAACACAACTACTTAAATTTTCTCACAACAAAATCATCAAAAGAGGAGGATATATATATATATATATATATGTATACATAAAATGTAATATTATGATCACAATAGTTAGACCCAATTAATTTAGTTAGGGCAATATGTTTGGCACAAACAATTTTCTTTTTGCCCTTCGCAGTAGCTTGACTCTTTTGATAGGGCTCTCGTTGCTTTTGTACTCGATAAATGTTAGCCAGAGAGGCGAGTATGAGAAAGCCTTCCATTTCCCAATCTTTGCGGCTAGTGTGGTGATGTTATTTTTGGCTCTTCTCGGTCTATTATGCTCCTTTTGCAACACTGATAAACTAGTCATCGTTTTTGTTGTTTTTATGTTTTTATGGACTGTTTGTCTCGTAGTTTGTGCATCACTTTATATTTTTCTTACCAATATAAATGGTAATGGGAAAGCATTTCGCCTCGAGGAAGCAAACTCGCTGCAGAAAGGTTTTTTTGGCCACAATAATTGGCAACGGTTAAAGGCACGTTTTATTAAAGCTGACATTTGCAATGCAACCAAAAATGTTGTTGTAGATCCCATTCGAAATCCCATGGAGGTAAAGTATTCATGAATTCATATACCATTAATTTAATTATATATATATATATATATGATTGATTGATATATAATTAATATTTAATAGTGGAATTGCTGTCAACCTCCATTATACTGTGGATACGAGAGAAAGAATAAAACATTCTGGGAAAAATCAGAAGAAGAGAAAGGCGGTGATTGCATGGTATGGAGTAATAGCAAAAACACACTATGCTTTGACTGCGACGCATGCAAAGCAAGACTTTTGTTCCTTCTTCACAAACACACTGAGCTCTTTATCATCTTAGCCTTCGTTGAAATTCTCTTCAATGTCTCTGTATTTTTCGCTGTATTCTACAATGTAAAAAACAATAAACAAGAAAGATATAGCAGATCGCAAGATCACTTTACTAAATCGTATATACCCCTTTGATTAATTTTTTGAATATAAAAAACCCATTTTATTAATTAATTAACAATATATACATAAATGTTTATGTTTCATATATAAGGTTATAGTTATACAGCTAATACACATATATAAGGAACCAGATCTGCAGAAGACAAAGTCAATAGGACCCAACAGTTCAACCGACCAGCAGAACCCACCCCTAGTCTGGCCAGGAAATCAGCTAAGAAATTCCTTTCTTTGTTAGTGTGCACTATCTTGACCTCTTAAATCTTTTCCAGACCGTTGAGCAGCTCAATGGTGATTAGATCTGGATATGAAGTAGATGTAAATATTTGATTATTAACTACATGCCGTCTTCTTCTTCTTCTCCTTTTTCACCTTACCTACATCTTTTTCTAATTTTCTCTAAAGATACAAGATGATTCTACTAGTGGTGTCAGGAGCCGCTCTTATGTATGTCAAATAAGAGACTAAAACATGAACATTTAACCATTATATGTAGATTTATGACATCAAAAGGTTAATTTTTATTCAACATATGTGTATGAAAACTTTTTGGACTTACAGGAACTATTAATTCCCTCAATACTTGCATATGTGTATGTAACCTTTTAATTATACATCTTTGTTTTTTTTTTTTTTTCTCCTTGAAAAGAAAAGGTTTTATCATCTACTTGCATATGTAGAGGACTAATCTTCCATAGTCTACTAACATATACAATATCTAAGGTAGTGTAAAGCTAAAGCTATAGTACCAAGCACAGGCACAAAGGGGGCTACCCCGTTATCCGAGAAAGAGTTTGTTGTTTGGTGTCCCTCCATCAATCGTTATATACCTTAGTTAATTTAAAATTTACAATAATCGTAATTTATATTTTTAAATTTATTCTAACTAAAATATAATTTAAAAAAAAATGATGTATCAGAATTTTGTAGGGGAAAATTACATTTTTATCTCTTAGTTAAAAGTTATTTGAATTATAATACATAAATTTATTATATTTAGAGAAGAACAAAGCATACTATTAGTTTTACAAACTACTAAAAAATTTTGTCAAGAACTTTAATCAATTTTGTTTCACCACCTAATATTTTACATTTATTAATATTCAAAATACTCCAGCAGCTAAGTTAATGACTAGTACATTTTTTTTAATAAAAGATAATAAATTTAAGTTAAAATGTCTTTTATAGTATTATAATGGGTATATATATATTATTTAATCGCTAAATGTACATATTTTTTATTTTAAAAAATTGTAAATTCTTGCAACATGGTATATTTAAAATCATGAAGTCACCAAGAGTGTTTTTTTTCTAATAAAAAATGGTTTAGAAATAAAAACAACAATCTTGTATGGTAATTGAAACAAGTACACTTAAAGCAGTGTTAGTACTCTAAGTTGCTTTTCAAGTATGTAAAGTTTTTATATAAAAATAAACTATTTTGTATTGAAATAGAGTGCTAGTTGCGCAAAAAAAGAAGTATCTATTTTTAAATAATATATATATATATCAAATGTGTTACAATTTACATTATTATGTTACAGTTAATGTTAGAAAATATCACTTAAGATTTTATGTTGAGTATATACAGAAAACGAATTGGAAAAAAAAGAATCAAACTTGAGAATTTGTGAGTAGGTATGTCCCTTCTTTAAATAAAAATTATGCAATTATAAGTTATTAAATCTTATGCTTTGAAGAAAATAAAAGAATGATTATATATTTTTACTACGAGTTATTTTCAATTTTTGTTCAAGTATTCGTTTTTCATATTCATAATAAGAAATGAATCTAAATTATCAAATGTATTGGTAAGTGAAAAAAAAAAAAAATTATTTACTCAGAAAAACACAGAGCCTGGGGTTTAAATAAAATTTGTCATAAACTTAAAAAAAGAAAAGAAAAAAAAACGAAATTCCGGCTCGAATTAATTAGCTGCTGGATCATCATTTGAAGTAACAAAAAATAAGAAGAAAACAAAAAAAGCCAGAGGGAAAAAGAAGAAGAAAACAAACACAATAAATTATAGAATTAATGGAACACAAAAGTCTAATTTATAAGCAAATATGAACTTAGTTTCCCCTTAAATTACCCTAAAAAATTATGGAAAAAAAAAAAAACCCAACAAACAAGAATTTTGTCTCTGTGTCTCTCTAATGTAATGCCTGCTGTTCATGAATGACCAAGCTGCTATTGTAATTATCATTTAGTCTGAACTGAAATGAGTTTTTGGGTCTGGAAAACAAAAAAGTCTGTGTCTAGTAAACTGAATCATCAAGCGTCTACATGAGCACGTTGTTTCTTGAGCTGTAGCTGTGCTTCCGCCAGTCCCCGCCCCACCTCTTCGTCGCCCTGTGTCTGGCTCTGCAACATCTCATAGTCTTGTATTGAAGCCGCCCAATTCCTCAGCTACACAAATACATAGATATATATGTATTAAGTTCATAAATGAAGTGTACATGCAGGCATATATCCAAGTATAATAACGAGAAAGATGAGTGGGTAGTTACCTTGGCATTAAATTGGGCTCTTCTTAACCTAGCCTTAGTGTAGTTGGGACGGAGATTAAGAGCAAGATTACAATCCTCGAGAGCTTTGTCGAATTGTCCAAGTTTGGAGCGAGAAGTAGCTCGGTTGCATAACAAGACTGAGTTGTAAGGATCGTGCTGTAGACCCTCCGAGTATGCAAAGCAGGCTTCTGTAAATCTTGACTCCTTGAACAGATCATTCCCTTGACTTCTTGCCATTGCCACTGCCTTCGCCCTCCTCAACACTGCCTTCACTTCTCTGTTGTTCATGTCAAGTTTTGTTGCTCCTTCAACAGCCGCTAATGCATCATCAAATCTGCACAAGTATTCACCATATAATCATTGGGAGAGATTCACAAATCATGTTTAGGTTTCTTTTTTGTCAGCCATAGTAGCTTACTGAATTTAGGTTGTTATTAGTAGAAAATATATCAGTTAATTTATTATTTTATTTTATTTTGAATAGATAAATTATTAGAAATAATAATTAAGTCACACATACTTTAACTACCCAAATTCTATATTTATTTGAACCATTATGATAAATAAATTTTTTTTTAACTATTTTATTTAAAAATATGTTTTTAATTACTGAAATAAGTATCTCCTAATTTTTAGGAACAACTATATACTATAATACATAAATTTTCATTAATTAATGCTCTCAAAATTAGACGCATATATTTAACTTATTCATTCACCTATCAAGTAAAACAATTTCATAGTTATACCTATGTAACACAAAACTATATATAATGCTACAATGTGTATGTTTTAAGTAAAACAATTTCACATGTATACGTATGTGACGTGAAGCTATATATATTGCTACAATTTGTATGTTTTAGTCAAACAATGTCATATGTATAACTATGTGATATGAAACAATATATACTGCAACAATGTGTATCTTTAAATAAAATAATGTCATACATATATTTATATGACGGGAAGCAATATATATTGCTACAGTGTTTATGTTTAAGTAAAACAAGTTCGTATGTATAGCTATGTGACGTAAAACTATATAGATGTGAATGTTTGAGTAAAACAATTTCATATGTATATAAGTTCATATGTATAGCTATGTAAAGCTATATATATTGCTACAATGTCTATATTTAAGTAAAACAATTTCATATGTATTTCCTGACATGAAGCAATATATATTGCTGCAATGTATATGTTTATTATGTTAATATACTATTCAATTCTCCAGTAGAGAAAAATGCATCAAAGACGGTCCATACGTAAATAATTTTGGGGAAAGACAAAAGAAATTTAAGGAATTACCTGCCGGCAGCCATGTCAACCTGAGCTCGAACCACTAACAAATTGGCATTACCAACAGCGCCAAAGAACTTGGTACAGGAATCCACATCAAACTTAGGACCCTTGCACAGTGCCTCATCTGCATCTTGGTGTTTATGGAGTCTCAAAAAGGCCTCAGCTTGCAATGCATATATCTTTTTTTTCCACAAAACCCATTATCATATAATCACCACCATTAATTAATTAATTATCACTTAATAATAATAATAATAAATTAATTGGTGACCCACCTGCGGTGCTGAATCTGCACCACTAGACAAAGCGCTAGCAGCTTCTTTCACAAGCGTGTTCCAGTCACGTAGCCTCTTGGCTTCTGTGCACTTGTTGAGATGGAACTGGAGAGATTTGGCCTTGGCAATGTCGTCACCATCAGCTTCAGGTCCTGCATGTTTGTAGTGATAGATTGCATTCTCAACTTCCCCTAACCTATATACACAAACACACCCATGGAAAACAACATCATTATATCAACTATATAAAACTAGTATGGATACAAACAAAATACTAAAGAATAATGAAATTTGGTGACCTGAGATATAAGTTCGCAAGACGATGGTGAGCTCTGTGGTAATGAGGTTCTATTCTGATGGCCTCTCTGCACTCAAAAACTGCCTCAAGAATTCGACCAAGAGCTGTCAAGGCAGCGCTTTTGTTGCTGCGATATGAAGCTTTGTTGGGATCAATGGCAATGGCTGCCTCGTACAGCGCCAAGGCCTCAGCGAAATTCCCATTCTTGTAATCTTCATTACCCATCATCTTGAGAGTTTCAGGGTCCATTCTTGTCGATAGAGCTCTGCACAAAGATCCAGCTTGCTCAAGACTCGGTGGTTTCGTCTGTTCTTTGTTAATGGAGACTGGTTTGTAGGTGTTCTTCACCACATTTCCCATCACAGTATTCGGATATTTCCCGTTAGGCACCACTCGCTCTTCTCTAGCAGTCTTCGGTAGAGAATCAAGAACATTTTGGGTGTTCGTGTTTCCACCTCCTCCTCCTCCAGGTTGCCTCAAGTTACCCAAATTCCCAAACAGCATCACGTTACTAGACGAAGCTCGGACAAGCGTGTTGCTTCCTTTTGCTTTCTGGTGATCGGCGATCATGCTCTCCAGCTCGCCGGAGATGCCAATCGTTTCTTTTGGAACCCTCCTTCCTTGCTGGTTTTGTGTCGGAGCCACTGCTTTCGCGGTATCATGAGAAGGTTTTCTCGCATGAGAAGAAGAAGAAGAAGGCAGAGGAGCTGCCGTCGACACGTTGGTTCTGGCCACGGGCTTTTGTGCGGCGGCCACCGTGTCCAAAGGTTCTAGAAAAGAGGTCTCGTCGGAGCCGCCTCGCCGCCTTTTCGAGTTGAGGTTGCTCGGCGACTTGGTGAAATGAATATTGGTGTTGTTGTTGGTGTTGGTGTTGTTGTTGTTGTTGTTGTTGTTGTTGTTGTTGGTGGTGGTGGTGGTGGTGGTGGTGGTGTTGGTGGCGGTGCTGCCGTTGTTGCTGCTGCAATTATCGCCGATCGAACTCGGCTTCTTTGGCCAAAACCCACGTTTACCAAACACTGCGTTTAACAGCCCACATCCCGATCTCTTTTCTCCAGAATTCTCCTCCATTGTTGATCGTCTTTTTCTACAACAACAAGATCAGAGAATCCAGATAATTGCAGGATATGGCCGAAAACCTTAATCGCTACGAAATCTTAACCACATGTCTAGGCTCTGTTTGTTTCTAGAGAAAATTTCAGAAGACAAAAAAAATCTAAAAGCTGAGATTTTATGATGTCTAAGACGAAAAGGAATACGAAAAGAACAGAGAAGGGGGATTTAAACGGCCTAACCCCAGGAGATAACGTGTTTCACCTCCTGGAGAGGCTTCAAACAATAAAACTTTCTTTGTCTTCTCCTCTCTATTTTTGTTAAGGAGACAATGTTGGATAACATGTTTAGAGGAGTAAAAAGGAAAAAAAAAGATTGAGGAAAAAATCTGCAGAAAAGGAATAATTCTTCACTGTAACGTTTGTTTAAACCAAAAAAAAAAATTAAATTAAATTAAATTAAATTATTTTCTTAAAAAATATTAAGGTAATTGGTTTTGAGATTCAAAAGTTTTTTTTTTCAACTTTTTTTGTGTGGTAAGAAAAGGAAACCTATAAAATCGGGTCGTGGGTGAAATGGGGATCTCTAGAATTTTAGAAAGGGAAAATGGTTTTTTTTTTTTTTTTCCCTTTTGGAATTGACTCTATACATTTTTGGTTTGGGTATTTTGCTGTATCCAGCTGCATCCCAGGCTCGCACACTGTTATATATAGAGATTTATACTAGGATAAGAGGCAGGCACGTTGGTGTGTGCCTGGATCTTCCCATACTTGAATCCTTAGCAGCCTGGATCTTCCCCTATTATCGTGTCATCCCACATATACATATATATATCTATCTATGAACACCCTTCAACAGATAGAAAATTTAAAAAGTCAGCCAGGAAGATGAATATGATAAATCAAAAAGGAAAAGGAAATGGGAATGTTTCCTTGTTCATTATAGATTTCTTCTTATATCGGTTAATGCATCAATTAAACCCTGAGTTATAAATGTTTACCATGATTTATAAGTTCTATGAAAAATTATTTATTTGGAATAAAAAATATTTTATATTTTATTTATGCATGCGGAAACTTCTTAAAAGCAAACACGCTAAAATTTTTTACATTAAAAAAAATTATCGAATTATCTTTGATATACGAATTTATTTAGTATGTGATTTAGCTAAGAATAGAAAAAAGAATTATAAAAATTGTAAATTCGACGTACGAATTTATTTAGTATGTGATTTAGTTGAGAATAGAAAAAAATTGTAAAAGTTTTAGTTTCGGCATACGAATTTATTTGGTGAGTGATTTAGTTGAGAACAAAAAAAAAATTGCAAAAATTCGTGACAATTTATACATGATTAAGGAACAAGATTAAACATGAACATTTTTATGTTAAAATTTTGTTCCTACAAAATTTTTATGATATGTTTTCAAAAAATTAAATACAAAAATAAAAGAATACAAATATTTAAGAATCAAATAAGAATGTACATTTTTATTAGAATATTATATTTACGATTAATATATATACATTACATACTAAATGATATTTTAAATATTTGGGAAAGTAAAAATAATGGAATAACTTTATTTTACACGTTAATATTAGGTAGGTGTTTGATATTTTAGATAATTTATAAATATTTATGAAGAGAAAAGATTAGGGGTGGACTTTTGATTTTTAAAAAACAATAAGTTGCTTGGTCTTTAAGTTTTATTTCATACATCAACTTTCTAAATACAATCATATTGTTAAACCTCAAGGAACCAACCAACTAGAACACGATTTATTTTTATTTTAATTTAATTTATTTGTTATCAAAATTAAATTATTGTTATAATATGTGAGAAAAATATTTTAGTTTCAACATTTTTTTTTTCAGAAATATTATATAATTATGATATTATTGAATAAGTTGATGAAGATAAAGATGAAGATTGACTACAAAAAAATAAACAGAAGATTTTGCAACTTTTGCCGGGAAATTGTTGACTATATGGAGACAAGGTTCACGGTGGCTAATTAATCATTTGATATTAAGAGAAAACTTTAAATTAGTTACTTAATATTTATTTTTTAATTTTTATGTTCTTCAATATTAAAATAAAAGGTCTGGTAGGTTTTTTAATATAATTTCAATTTTTTTTAATAAACAAAGTAACAAGAACCATATTTTTAATTTTAAATTTTTATATACTTATAAAAATAATTTACCATTTAAAAATTTAAAATTGTGAGTGTCACTATTACTTTCGTCAAATTAGTAATTAAATACAATTTTTATTAAAATACATGATTTAGTAACAAAGTCCCATCATTCATCAAGTTGAAATCTTGATATCATCAATCAAGCTAAATTCACAAGTTTGAATTTTATTGAGGTATAAATTTTACGATTAATAGGTAAACTACGAGTTAGCAACGATTGATCTATAGTAATTGATTTAATAAAACTAAAAATTTAATTTATTAATATATTAGTAGAGTTGTGATTGTTAAATTATATTAAATTTTAATAAATTTATTATATTTCTGAATGAAAATAATATTATGACTGTTAGATTTTTTAAATGAAATAATAATGATATATTAAAATTTTAACATAACTTCTTTGTCTTTGTAAGAAAAAAAAAATGTTAGATTCGCAATCATTCAAACTCACAAATATTTATTATTTATTTTAACTATTTAAATTAATAGTATTCCGTAAATTAAAATTTTAAGATCATCTAATAAAATTTAATTTTAAATTGTAAAAATTAATTTAGTGGCAAATAGTTGTGGAACAAGAGACATGTTTGGTTGCAGGGAGATTTCAGAAGTGTTTTCCTATCTTTTGATAAAGTTAGATTTTGTAAATACGGGCATTAGGGGATTTACTTTTCTATTTGCTTCTTTATTAATTGCTAATATATTAACATAATTTATTATAAAATACTTATAATGATATTAATAAAATATATATATATATAATTGATATGTTATATCTGGATGGGTACGAAAGATCAAATCTGAATTTATTTCAATTTTTTTTTTTCTTTTTCCAACAATTTTAATTTTAATAAAAAAATTATATTTAATATAAATTGAGTTAGAAAAATAAATAAAAATATGTAGTGATTATTAATTAATTTGATATAAAAATGAGCTTGTTTAAGAAGTATATTTGAACTCGTAGTGAAACCAAGAAGTTTCCTTTCTAATGGAATTCTCCTATCTTTATTCTCTGTCAGACCATATTTAGCCAAGTCTCATTTTCTTTCTTCAAATTAAAATTTTGTATACTCCTCTACTAGGCTATATCTAAGAAACTTTGTACCCAAAAAAGAAAAAAAAAAAAAAATTGTTTAGCCAGGATTCATTAATCATATATGTAAATTAAATTAATTAATTTTTCTATCCACATCAACTCTCACATTAATTTAATTAATTACAATATTTTTTATAGGTTCATTTAATGTATTTGTATCTCTTTTAATGAAAGGCGGCATCTCTGAATTATGAACATTTAAAAATAAATAAATAAATAAAATTTGTGAATCTCCTCCCCTGATTTGGTTTGGAGAACGTGCATATGACTTACCACACACGTTTTTAAAAAATAATTATAATAAATTCCGTATTCTTGACTTTTATATATATATATATCAATTTTGATTAATTCTCTTGAATTATATAATTTTCTCCATTACATGCACTTATCAAAGAATCGATTTAATGATGCTTTTTTTAAAACCATAAACTATATACTTGTTTAACAGTAAAATATTAATCCAGAAAATATTACATTACTGCTCCTCCTTTAAAAACATGATATAATATTTTGAAATTTCATTTTTATCCGTTTAAGGTAGAGCACAATGATAGATTAAAAAAATATACATTTTGGTTTCTAGATTATAAAGCTAACTTATTTACTAATAAATAAATTTTATTATTCATAAAATATATTGATCCATTTTAATTAATCTCAAAATATAATTAATTGAAAGTGTAAAGATAATCAATTATATACTAAATATATCTGAAATAATTTATTATATTATTTAATTTTTACTTTAACTTTTTGTAAATTCAACAAATATAACATGTTCATAGAAAAATCTAAAACTCATTTAAAACTAATTTTTATAATATGATTGTTACATAATAACAATTTCAAAAAAACTATTTATTTTAATAAATAAAATAACTAAATAATGATTTTTTTTTTATTTAGAAAATAAAGACAGTGTAGAGTACGGTACTTGAATTTATTATTATATTGGTAACATTTTTCAACCAATTTAAAATTAGAAAGAGCACATAAAAATCTGGAAAAGATTATCCAAAAAGAAGTTTAATTATTAATATATTAGCAAAAACACATTATTTTAACAAAATATTTCATAAATTCGTAATTAATTCCAAATAATATAAGAATTTATTTACAAACAAATGTTTATTAAGATTTATTTAATATGAAATAAACTTTATGTTATTCAAACACATTATATTGTACCATCAATACCCAATAAATAAGCATTGATGATAAGAAAGACAAAATGTTCGTTGTGCTAATAATTTACTCTCAAATTGGATACCGTCTCCGGATCCGAATCTCCACAACCAAACAACATCATCTGCGTATTGACTCCAAGTAGGAACGTTCACTCACCACAACAATACTTACAGTACTAATACTCATCATTACCACCTTAATTAACTTATTAATCGGCCCGACCCGACAAAAATCCACCCATAATCAAGGCTCTCTCATTAAGAATCGGAGACCGATCCAACGGGTCCGGACTCCACAGGATCGCGGAGCCCCATAACATCGGACGGGCATTCATTACGAATAGCCGTGAGTTCAAACGGCGCCGCATCACGGGCGAGCCACTGCTCGACGGTGAACTGCTTCTGGGCACAGGGAGTGTGGACTCCAGTTGTGGTGACCTCGACGTAGTTGCAGTACCAGCCGTGGTGGGGCCCCGACCCGTCGGAGGTGAGATTCATGGCGCAGACGGGGGCTGTGAGGCAGGGGCCACGGCCGCTGAAAATGTCGAGATTGCCCCTCTCGAAGTAGTTGTAGCCGGGTCCCATCAACCCGCCCCACGCCTCCAGATTCGGGATCCGAACACCGTAGCCGTAGGCGTCGTAGAGTGTGAGGCTGATGATGGAGTCGGTTCCTCCCTTGATGATCGACCCGGTTCGGACGTACACCGTGTACACACAATCTACCTGATCCTGCTACCAATCATTAAAAAAAAAATCAACAGAAAGTCAAAAAGTCGAGGTTTATATTTGAAATAATGAGGGGAGAAACGTACAGAAAAGCCGATCGTGGAGAAGGAGACGATGAGGAGGAGAGAGAAGACGAGAGCGTTCGTGCGATCAGCCATTGTTGTTAAAATCCCGTGAGAGAGATTCGTGGTGGATTTAGTGTGTTACATATATAGGGAAAGAGGTGGGGTGTGATCCAGTGGAGCGCCATGTAGCAGCATCTGATTGGGAGTAAAGAAAAATAAATTAGTTGGGACCACGTGGGGAGAGATGGCCCACGTGTGTGAATGGCTATATATTGTAAGAACTGAAATATTAAAGCCGGCTCACAGATGAAACGTGGATAAGTGAGTGGGAAAAAATTATTAATTAAGTTGAAATAATTTTTAATTTCTTTAACCAAATGATTGAGTTGGAAACTAAAGATGATAACTTTTTTATTAGCTTTTAAAAGTTTAAACATATTTTTGGAGGAAATTATAACTTTGAGGTAGAACCAAAAAGTAATCTCTATTCTTTACAGTATATACTAAAGTGCAATCTACATTTCTAATTACATAAATGTGCATTTTAAACAGTAGCACAAGGGTATTTATGTCTTCATGCTCTTTTGAAGGAGAAACTTTTGAGGTCGAAATTATTTTCCTTTGTCTGGTTGCAAGGTCAAGGTTGAGACTTTTTAGTGAGTGAACCATAAACGAGTTGGGGAACGACGTGTTTCCAATGATGGTGGTCGTTTCTGGTGAGGATAAATTTGTAAATTGAGACGTCAAAATAATTCATGATTCTTTTCTACACAGAAAAAAAAAAAGGAGAGTCTTGAAATACCATTTATAGTGTTGTTTTTGGTTGTTGGATATAAAACCTCCCATTGACTTTGATTTTTACTAATTTCTGGAATTTGTTTGAAGAGAAAGACTACAATTTGGAGTTAAAAGAAATGACAATTTCTTCTAAAAATTTGTCAGTGATAGACAGCATTTCTCTCCCGCGCAGTAGTTCGTGAAGCTTGTTAAAATCCTGCTCAAAGCTTCATCATCTCCTCCATATTGAAACCTATGGTATGTTTTCCATACTTATGTTCAATGCTTTCTGCCTTTTCTTTTTCTTTTTTGCTTTTAATGTTTTATCTTATTTCGCATTCAGGGTTTAATCCGGGGAACCGCCAGTCCTGATGAAAGGAATTTTCGAAGCGACCTGCGTTTTTTTCTCGTGTCGACCTGCAAAATCTTTACTCGGTTGATCTCTTCCCTTACATTAGGTAATCATAATCCCTTGTCTTCTGCAGCTCTCTCTCCCATGGTTTAAGAATTTTCTCCACAGTCATGCAGCTGCTGGAGCTTATTCTCATTTGGTTGAACTTGCTATTTCTTTGCAGAGACAGTGATCCTGGCACTCTGCATCCTAGTACTTGTTCGATTGTCTTTTCTATTTCATTCAAGTAATAGCTCATTCCTTGTTGAAATTGTTTTGTTCCCCTTATTATTAATTCATTCCACGCACCGACTGGAAAACATTTTGATACAATTTGCCATTGTTTGAAGGGTTGAATATTCCAACAATGTTAATAGAAGCACTGCAATTAGGATTGCTGGTGATACTTTTCGGGCCAACGCCAGAATTTCGTGCTTGGAATTACCTATTAAACAAAGCTTCTAAACGAAGGTAATTCCATAAGGCGGTACTGCCATTATCATATATCCAATTAGCGTACATTCCTTCTTCAGTTTTGCTGTTTCCAATTCGTTTGCCTACTTTTCCCTCTGTTTTCTTTAGGGGGAGATAAGGCACATTAGTTTGTTTGTTCGATATAGATAAACAGGCCTTTTGAATACATCTCATCTTTCCATTGTTACTAATTCATTGTCGATGCCTTATTTTTGTGCTATAAACACACTAAAGAGAGAAAAACAACGAGATGGAGACCAAATATATCGAGCATTTCAGTCACTTGCATCCATTGATTTTGCATCAGAAGAGGCATCGCAACGATGGTATACTGATTGTAGTTTGTTCTGGGTGCTCGGAAGTCGTTGAATCAGGTCCTTTCTATGCTTGCGTTGAGTGTAATTTTTTTCTTCATTGCAAATGTGCCAAGCTACCCCTCAGGATAAAGCATCCAATTCACCGCAGACACCATCTTGTTCTTTGTCACGGAAATGAGATATTCATATGTAGCCTGTGCAAGGAGCTGTGCCAGAACTTCTTTTATCATTGTGCTAGTTGTCACTTCATAATTGATGTAAGATGTGCTGACTTATATAACATCACTGTGGGTGAAAATCATCAGCACAAGTTTTCTCCCATTTGCAAGAGAATCCCAATTACTTGTGATGCCTGTGGTGAAAGTGGGGATTTTTATCCTTACATGTGTACTTTGTGTCACCTCACAGTCCACGGGAAATGTACTTCATTGCCATCCCAAATCAGAATAACACGGCATGGGAATCACAGCATCACACACACCTATTTCCCAACTGAAACTGAAAATGAATCTAGTTGGCACTGTGGAATTTGCTATGAAAAAGTGAGTGCAGATCATGGGTGCTACTGTTGCACAAAATGCAATTACATTGCCCATGCGAAATGCGCAACAAGAAATGATATCTGGGATGGTCGACTTTCGAACCTTGGTGATGGAAACAATAGCGCATTCATAAATTGGATAACTAGCTGGGAAACAGAACAAGGAGAGAATGTTATTGCCACGAAGATTGAAGTAACTGTCAACCACGAACACCCATTAACTTTATGTGAAAACGTAAAAGATGATATATTTTGTGATGGATGCACGCTTTGCATTTCAACTCCATTTTATAGCTGTGAAAGGTGCAACTCTTTTCTCCACAAGGCCTGTGCTGAATTACCTTGGACGAAGTTACACTCATCCCATCGTCATCTACTCGAGCTCAAAAAGTTCCCCAATGGTGTTGTAATCTGTTGTAGTGTTTGTTCAGTTTGGTTCCATGGATATGCTTACAGCTGTCAATTGTGCAATTTCAACCTTGATCCTCGATGTGCTTTGCTTGCAGATACTTTAAAGCACGGTAGTCATGATGAAGATAAACATGAGCTCCGGGCATTCTTCAATGAGAATGCAGTCCCTTGCAATGGGTGTGGTGGTCTGAGTACAAACTACTTCAAATGTGCAATTTGTGATTATGTCCTGGACTTCAAATGTGCTACATTACCACAAACAGTAAAGAGTGAGTTTGATGAAGATCTCATCCTAGTATATCGAGATGACTTGGATGATCATTACTGCTTTATTTGTGAGGAGGAAAGAGATCCAAAGTACTGGTTCTACTCCTCTAAGAATGGCTGTTCGGAATTTCATGTTGCTTGTGTTCTTGGGAAACTCCCTTATATCAGGCTTGGAACAAAAATCAGTATCACTGCTCACCCTGATCATTATGTCACTTTAGTCCAGAAGAATGAAAAGTACTCTTCATGCAACTCTTGCAGCAAGCTTTGCAAGGACTTGGCCCTTGAATGTGAAGAGTGCGATTTTATTATGCATTGGGAATGCTTTGAAAACAAGGTTCGGTTACTTTCAAGTGTTACATATAGTTTCATGTTCCGTAGCTTTATGTCTTCTTTCTTTTCTGTTGGTTTGATTTATAGAGGAATGGGACTAGCTTCCACTTTTCTCTATGAGAGAAGTCAGTTTCAGGTCCCGTACCTTACTGTTTTTGTTGGTTTGATTTGTAAAGGGATAAGAGTAGCTTCAACTTGTCTCGACGGGAGTAGAAAATTTGGTAGCATTACTACGTATCTTAATCACTGATTACAAATTATTTGCAGAGGGAGAGAGAGATGCATCAACATTCAGATCATGATCTGAGGTTTGCAAATCCGGATGACTTACTGATCCCTTTTGATGCATTTTCTTTATTCTGGAAATGATCCGATTTTCCTCTCAACCTGCGTTAATTTATGGAAAAGGTGGGAGTATATCATCAAGCTATGCCACCCACAAATGTGAGAGATTTGCGTTAGTGTTTAATGCAACTCTCTTTGTTAATCATATAGATTTTTGCTTAGCATTACGTATCATTTGGTTAGTCTTTCTCCAAAACCAATTTTGTTTATATTTTAGTTTTAGAAATAATAAATTTGTATATGGTGAATTTATATTCTCTTAAATCATGTATGAAATTTTTGTTTTTTGTTTCTTGATCGAGTTCAAAAAATTCGTTGCAATTAAAAGAAAATGTAGCTGTGCATTTTTTGGTGGTGTCCCATTTATTCTTCTTACGACAACCAAACATTCATAAAAATATCTCTACTTTTTTATTGCAAGAGCTGATGGTATTTTTTGCAATAAAAGCAAATTGAAATTGAAATTGCAGCGGCGCGGAAGGAATCTTTTTTTTTTTTTTTTTTTTTTTTTTTTCGGTTTTATTCAATTAACATGCTTACACTTAAATAACTCTTTAAAAAAATAAACATGAACAATCCTTAAATAATAAAACCAACTTTTGACCCAAAACAAAATATAAAGTAACATTAAAAGTCACGGGTAAATTTTTATTTGCTGCCTTAAAAGCTCGAACCTGTAAGGGGGAAGTGGTTTTGTAAACAAATTAAAAGGTTTAATTTTCCCATAAACCACCGAATTGGGAAAAATTGCAATTGCTGCTTAATTCTCAACAAAAAATGTCAGTGCTGTAATTTTGCTCCATATGTAGATTAGACAAATTTCTTGAGCCGTAAATCTTAGTTTATGCAATAAATTCTGCCTATATAAGGGATTTGTAAGGGTCTTCACAGCTGCTGAAGAATACTTCATCCAAGTTCACAACTTATGGGTGCTTTAGAGAATAACCGCTCCCACTCTTCGCTCAAAAACAACAGCTTCCTTCATTCACCATATTTGCATCAATTTGTCGCAATATATTCCCGGTTAGTTCGCATTTAAAAAATAAAATAATACATTTAAGAAACATAGAGAGAGACTCACAAAAGTATTATTACAACACAGAGAGAGACGCGAGAGAAAAAACAAAGATTATGTTCCGTTCATGGTTGCCATTTCAATTGGAATTTACAGGTATTCATTCTTGCACTTCCTGCTTTACGACTGATTTAACTATTCTTTTGTTATTTCTTACGGTCTAATCCCTAATGGTAGCAATCATTTAAATTCAATTCCTAATTACCCAATCGAATCCCTAAATTGAAACCCTAGCTATTTTAAACATATCATAGCTCCTCTTTACAGTCCCTTGTCCTTGAGGGAAAATCCTGGAAAATTTGGGTTTACGTGACCTGCATCTTCCTAAGTAGGACTGTGACCGCCTGACCATTGGATTTGGAGCTTCACCGTAGGCTTGTTAATCTGTGATAAGGAAACTGGCAAGGATGCGTTTTAAGTTATGACGCATAGAATACGAGGTGACGCTTGCTACCCTGCGACAGTTGGAACATGTAAGCAACCTTGCCCACTTTATAGAGGATTAAGAAGGGACACTTTGTAAATGGAGTCAAGCTTTGAATTAGATCAAAGGGCTATGGTTTACTGTCAGTAAAGTTGAATCTTCAAGTAGACGTGGTCCCCCAGTTGAAATTCCCTATCTGTGCGACGTTTGTCAATTTGTTGTTTCATCCTTTGTTGTCCCCTTGATAGATGGAATTTGAGAAGCTGTAGAGTAGCTTCCCTTTCTTGTAGAAATGTTTCCAAGCTGTGTGTAATAGAGTTGTCCGATACCTAAGGAACATGTACAGGTGGCAAATACCCGTATAGAGCTTCAAAAGGTGCAGTTTGTATAGAGGTTGAAAATTGGTATTGTACTAATATTATGCTATCAGGGGCCATTGGGACCGGTTGGAAGGCTGTTCATGTTACGTACACCTCAAATATGTTTTCAAGCATCGATTTACAACTTCTGTTTGGTCATCCATTTATGGATGGTGTGCAGTGGGAGTAGCAAGTTCCACTCCTTGAAGCTAGAACAACTCTTGCCAAAAAGTGCTGATGAAAATATTGTCTCGGTCACTGACTATCGTTTCTAGACACCCATGAGGCAAAAAATAGTGTCCATGAAGATCTTGGCCACTGTGTGAACTGAATAAAGGTGTGTGAGGGCTATGAAATTGGAATATTTGGTGAGTCCGTCAACAGCTACCTCGATGGAATTCTTCCCATGTGATTGAGGAAACCCCTCAATAAAGTCCATGGAAACTCCTGACTTGGGACTGCGAAGGATTTGTAATTGCTGTAACCGTAAAGGTTATGGCAGCAATTGTCTCATAACATTGACCAGTATCACATTGCAAATGCAGTTGTGCATGTCCTTTTCCATGCCCCTCCAATAAAAAGAGTAAAGATACTCTTTTAAAGGTAGCTTGAACCCCTGAGTGAGTAACCACTGGCTTCGTGTGAAACTAATTGATGATTTTGTTCAGAAGTGCCATATTAGAGCTGATTACCAGGCAGCCTTTCTTCCATAAAATTCCATCTTGCATAATGAATGAAGACTGGCCGGTTTGTTCTTGGTTCAGCTTGGTCAGGATTCTTTGTACTACCAAATCTTCTTGGTAACTTGGTTGAACCTCTTGAATTAATTTTGTTGTGAATAGGGAAATTTGTTTGCTTTATCTCCATGAAGAGTTTCCAAGAAAAGTGCATCTGCCACCTTATTTTATTTTCCCTTTTCTATGCAATTTCATAGTCAAAGCCCATAAATTTGGATAGCCACCGGAGCTGTGTTATAGTTGTCATTCTCTGGACTAGATATTTAAGGTTATAACGATTTGTTAGGACAAGGAATTTCCTACCCATCAAGTAATGTTGCCACTTGGAAACTGCAAAGACAAGAGCCATGAGTTCTTTTTTTATAAACAAATAATAAAAGTGTTCAACCTGAAAAGCTTAGCTGATAAAAGCTATGGTGTGGCCTTTTGCGTTAACAGTGCTCCCATGCCTTCTTAAGAGACATCTGTTTTGACCACAAACTGTTCATTAAAGTTGGGAAGCGTCAGAATTGGTACTATGGTAATTTTGTCCTTCAATTCTTCAAATGCTCGAACTGCTGCATCTTTCCATTTGAAGTGTCCTTCTTTGAGCATATTACTAAGGGGTTTAATGCTGCCATGATTTCTGATGAATCTTTTGCTACCCATGTAATAGGTTTTATGTTGTCCGTTTATTCCAGTCTCTCTTTCCCTGATTCTAGTACTCCTCACCATCTATTCAATAACATCTTTCTACTCTTTGGAGTGCTTGTAGGGCCTTATGTTTACTGTCTTGTTAGGATTTGTAAGTCAGATTTGATGGTCATGGTTGCAATGTAGAAGTAGGATGGTTGAAGTATCAAAAACATCTTCAAACTGATCGAGGATCAGCTGTACTTGAGTTAAAAATGTTGTGGTTGACTATGGATTTCATAGGCGAGTCTGCCAGTGGTGAAATTGGTTTTAATGCTCCATAACTGAGCTAGTAGACCTCTTATTAATTTCATCATCTTTACTTCAAAGACCTGTTTGATTGTTGTTTCCTTTTCTCCTTCAAGCCTTTCCCACTGTTCTTCTTTCTTATGTATCATTGTTAGCTGCTTAGAGATACAAACTATATCATCCAGTTTGGTTAATCACTGATTTCTAACACAGCTTTGTCTCCTCCGAGTGGTACAATAAAAGAAGTTGCCTGATACTTCTCTCCTTGCATACTCTACTATAGGTCTTTGTTGTATTGTCTGCATTGTATAATGTATCCACTGGCTACTTGAATTAACATTGGCTTGGTGGTGACCACATTATGTTAATTCCTTAGCAACTGCAACCTCAAGGAAATTGTTACTGCTGCCTGAATCAATTAACATGTGAATTTCCCTTCTCCCTATCCTTCCTTTAACTCGCATGGAGCTTATTGAATTTTCAGCCTGTAAATCCCCATTATGGTATGCATGGAGGTGTATGGTTGCTTATCTTATCTTTTTTTTTTTGCCTCTTTTATCCCTTCTGGTTCTGATTGTTCCCTGATTCTTCTTCTTCTCTTCATGTACTGTTTCTACAGTTTTTAATTCTTGCATTTGTGGCCCACATAGTATTTCTCATCACATAAGTAGCCGACTCCTTTTAAGTATTTTTCCCCCAATGCATGAGGGCTTAACTTCAAAGTTCTGGTATTTGGGGTGGTGGGTAATAATCCAGTTGTGCTTTTTGTGTTGGTTGAAAATTTTGGTTAGTTGTGGGTTGTTTTAAAGGCCTTTGCTTGAGTGGCAGTCGGTTTGGGTTGGGACTGATTTTTTTTTATAGGATAATGTTTATATGAGGGACCAGGTACTAAGTATCTTATAGGTGGAACTAGGTTGTCTCCACTTAACATGTTCTTTATATGATAGGTATCTGGTCATGGAGGCTTTAAGGCTTCAGTCCATGGCAACCAGAAATTCTTGCAATTTTCCAACCCTCTGTTCTTGTTGTAAGGTGCTAGGAGCTCTCACAAGCACTTTCAACTCTGTTTTTCTATCCTATGATGAAAAAGCTGATTTATTATCCGTTAATGAGGTCAACTCGGCTCACTAACATATTAAATTGCTTGAAGTATTTTTCTATAGATTCTTCCTGCCTCAACATGGTTAGCTCTAAATGGGGTCGTTGTATGCAGTTTCTCCAAAGATGACTTCCAAGCTTTCAATATATTCTTTCCAACTAAGCCATGACCCCTTTATTTTTCCGTTAAGGTCTGATGCCACTCAAGTGCACCATCTTCCAAAAATAAAGAAACCAATTTTACCTTTAAATCTACGCTGTTTTTATCAATTTCAAAGTATCTTTCCACCTTGTATCGCCAGCCTTTAAAATGTTCCCCATCAAATCATGAAAAATCCAGCTTTACTCTTAATCTCCTTGTTTAACTCATTCTACTTTTCTTGTTTTTTTTTTGTTGCTATGATCCAATCATCCTTCAGGTTCGGTTGTCCATTGTGTTACTAACATTGCCAATAATTTTTTCATGTCTCCTAATTCTTGTTTCATTCCTCGAAGTTTTTGCTTCAAATTTCCCATATCCTAATCCAACCTCCTGTCCATATCTTGTACTTGCTTCATCACTTCATTTTCTTGGATTCTTGGAATCGAGTACTGTCAAAAATTCCCATGGATCCCAACTAGCTCTAATACAAGTCATATGTTTAAGAAATATAGAGATGAGAACCACGAAAAAACTAT